TGAATCTACCATAATATTCACCACCTCTATCAGATCTTACACTTTTAATTCGTCTACCAAGTTGATTTTCAACTTCAGCTTTATAGAGTTTGAACATATCCAATGCTTCTGATTTTTTACGAATAAGATACACATAAGTATACCTAGAAAAGTCCTTAATAAAAGTAATAAAATATTTATGTCCAGAAATAGTTGGAACAGTAAATGGACTACATATATCAATATGAATTGTGTCTAATAATTCAGTAGTCCTAGTAGCACCCTTTTTCTTTGTCTTTGTGTATTTTCCTTTAATGCAATTCACATAAGTACTAAAATCAGAAAAATCAAGTGAACTTAAAATTCCGTCTTTAATAAGACGTTCCATCATTTCTCTTGATATGTGGCCCAAGCTCTTATGCCACAACATGGATGAATTTTCATTCATTCGCTTTCTCTTTTTATTTGCCAAGTTGTTTACATTAAAGGATAAAAGAGATTGTGCATAAGTGGAATCTAAATTCAATGAATAAAGATTATCATATAAAGTACCAAAACCAATCATATGAGAATTGTGGAATAAAGAGACTCTATTATTTCCAAACTTAAATTCATAACCACAGGAATCAAGTTGTGAAACAGAAATTAGGTTTCTAGTAAAAATAGGAACATAAACTGTGTTTACTAAATCTAAAATAAAACCAGAGTCTAAAATTAGACGGAGGGTGCCAATAGCCTCAGCGTTCACTTCTATTCCATTCCCAATCATAATGGTTCGTTCTCCTTTATATAGTTTCCGACTTGTAAGGTATATGGAATTTGTTATGTGAATACTTGCACCAGTGTCAATCCACCAAGAATTTGGTAAAACATCTACCAAAAGGGATTCATAAGACACAAAGCATTGAGTGTTACCTTTCTTGTCTAACCAACTTTTAAAACCTAGACAGTCTTTTCTTATGTGACCTTTCTTTTGACAAAAATGGCATCGAATCTTATTTTCTTCATTAGCCTTGTGAGTTTCACCATTTGCATTCTTCTTCTTCTTACTTTTGCCTTTCTTGAACACACATGGCAATTAACTCACTCATCTTCCACTTATCTTTCTGCGTATTATAATTGATCTTAAAAGGACCAAATTGCGTAGGAAGAGAAGTCATAATGAAATGAACAAGAAAACCTTCAGAAACTTCCATGTCCATTCCCTTTAATTGAGAGGCTATGTTATTCATTTTTAAGATATGTTCACGAACACCACTCAAACCATCATATTTCATTGTCATCATTTTAATCATGAGAGTACTAGCAAGGGATTTGGAAGTTCCAATGAATTGTTCTTCAATAGATTTCATATAGCTCACTGCACTTTCAGAAACAGGGATTGCTCCTTGAATTGCAGGCATAATTGAGCCTTTCATAATCATTAGACTTAAGCGATTAGAGCATTCCCATTTTTCATATAAAGCCATTTGTTCCTTAGAACTTGTATCATTAGGCTTTGTAGGAGCTGGCTCTGTTAATGCATAGTCTAAATCCATAATTCCCAAAACAATTCCAAATTGCTCCTTCCATTTCTTAAAATTAGTTCCACTCAAAGCTTCAATACCAAACAAGTAACTATTAATTGCAGTAGGATTCAATGCTGCAAACACATAATATAATCAAGAAAACTACTTTTCACATGTCATAAAAATAACACTACAAGTTAAATATATCTAAATATAAAACATAATTAGTTAGATACGAAATCAAGTTATCCTTCCATTGGGCCAAAAAACAATATATTTTAACAATTAATAAAAGTAAATGAGATGACTAATAAAATAAACAACATAAAATAAAATAAAATAATCATTAAGACCGTAATGAGTTTATCACCGTTGGGTATAAAAACTCAATATCTCTTATTTTATTTTATTAACTAAAGCACGTGAGAAGTTTATCACCGTTGGGCAAAAAAAGTTATTGCTATATTTATTATACTAATCATCTCGATTGTTCAAACATATATAATGTTGAACCTCCGTTGGGCTTATCAACAATGTTTCAACTCATAAGGTGTGTAACAAAACATTATAAGTGCATAAAACATTATCTTAATTATCACTTGTTCAATAATTTTCAATTTTTATTTTAATATCAATAGAATAAAAGATTGGTCAAAAATAAAAATAAAATTGAACAAGTGTAAATCAAGGTTTTGCACTTGTTACACAAAACATCATCATAAAATGAAATTCATACTTACACGTTTTCATGCATCAGAATTGAGAACCATGCTCTGATACCAATTGATAGAAAACTTTACGGATCATAAACTAAAAACCATCAAGGATTCAATTCTATACATGAAAACTATATGAATTTCTACTATACAAAATAAGTGAATGCATACCTTGATCCATGATAGTATGAATCCTGTTGTAAGAAAGAGAAACCTTGAATAGAAGACCTTAATCTTTAAGTTCTTTACTTGTCTAAGATCTTCAAACCACTTCTCTCTCTCTAGGTGATGAGAGCCTTCTTATGGTGACAACTTGAGTTTTGTGATAGAGAGTGTGGTTTGGGACCTTACACTATTTATACTAGTATTCTTCTCATCAAAGAATCTATTCATTTAATGAACTTCATTAAATAGATTAATGTATCTTATGCATTCATAATAGATACATAATGTCTCTAAGATTCATTCATAATGAATCTATCACATTCAATGCATTGACATTATCTCCGTTAGTCTTCTATACATTATGTATATAGAGGTATATTCATCAATGATTAGTCACCATCTAATTGATGTACATGTATTTTACTTAATGAAATGAATATAGTATAATCATGCATAAGTCACATTAAATCATATTTAGGAAAAATTCTTGCAACAACAACTATTGCCACCCACACTTTCAAACATTGATTTTGGCTTTGAAACATTTCTGATCATTTTTTTTAAAAAAATAATCCAAAGACATCAGGTAGTTTGATTGATCACCCAACGAAAATTTAATTATTTCATTCATAAAAACTAATCCAAAAACATCGGGTAGTTTGATTGATCACCCAGCGAAAATTTAATTATTTCATTCATAATTTTTTTTTTTATTTTCTATCATGCGAAGAGATTAACATAAAACAACCAATTATTTTGACTTTTTTTTTCTTCTCATTTTGCAAAATTAAAAGACAATATCGCACAATAAAAAAACTACAAGCCTGGGAAAAGTATTGTTGAAGATTGTTTTATTTTGTTACAAAAAGTAAATAGAAAAGAGAATTTTTAATTTTTTTGTATAATTTATTAACTTTTTAATTTTTTTAATAATTTTTTGACTTTTAAACTAAACAGTGATATTTTTCACTTATTCAATCACAAATGACCATCCGTTCAAAAATAAATAAATAAATAAAAATTCACATATAACCATCAATTCTTTAAAAATAAATTGTTAGTTGGTAATGCTTTAATACATGAAATTCATGTAAAAAATGTGATGGTATGTTCACGCTAAGTACATTAAAGCCTATTTTGAAAAATGGATCAAAAGTCACTTCTTAACTTTTAACCGACTTCCCTTTCTCACAAAAAAATAAAAAAAAAACCAAAAAAATAATTTTTAATTATCTTCTCAAAACACCTCTAAATATAAAAAATTAAAATTTTGATATTGAAATATGTTAGCCAACAAAGTAGCAATGAATTACCACTTATAATAATAATAATACAAGTATGAAAAGATCGTATCATACCCACAAAATCATTCTCACATTAAGTTTTGTATCATAGTGGAACGATTTGGGATCCAATACATTACAAAACAACCTTTGATATAACATAAACAGAAATATAGAACAGAACAGATCATACTTGGCAGGACGACCTTGGGTCTAATCCATTACAGCTATATTATGGCCATTAGGTCATCACATAACAGATATTTTAACTTATCAGATATTCGGAATGACGTGGGTCTATCTTGCCAAATATACAAAACGACCTTGGGTCAATTTTTGATATACAGAATGATGTTGGGTCCATCATATACATTCATATCTCATCATATATATTGAAATTTTTATTAAATGTTTTATATGGGTATAAGATCTATATGGGACCCACATTGTGTAAATCTCACCCCATGTGAGACATTTAGTAAAAATTTTGATAAAATTTTTAAGATTTTTAACATTGCTCAGTATAATATTTGTGCATCTACTAATCTCGAACAAATTGAATATTAATAAAATGTGATATATATTCCTCAAAATAAACATATAAAGTAATAAAAAAACATATGATAAAAAAATAAATAATCCTAACATTATTGAATTGAATTTTATTTGAACAGACCACTCATGCCTCAATCCCCAACCAATCCATTTACGAAACAAATCCCAAAGTTTGATTCAGGAACTCTAACCTAATGCCATCCCAGAGCCAGTGATAGCTTAGTAGTTAAGAACTCCTTTACCAAACACCGCGTTTGGTACCATCCTATTTATTATTATTAAGATTAGATAAATAATTATAGAAATAATTTAATTACTCATCTGATTCTGTGTGCAAAGTGAATTCAAAATTTCTCTCCGGCTTTATTACTGAATTACCATGGAAAGAATCATGAGAGAAGCAACGGAAGAGAGCTCACTGAAACACTTGAGAAACAAATATTGCACCCCTGGAACAGGTCTCCATTAAACATTGAATTTAATCAAACAGCGAAAGAATGTTTTACGGAATTTAATAGCATATGCTGCATAAATTACCACAAGAAAACATCCACAATTTCTATTATTGTAACCAATTAGGAGTCACTCTTCTATGAATGTAATAATCAACCACAAAAACTGATTACAGACTGAATAACTTGGCACAAACTGACTCCATCACAAATATTGTAAATTCCTAGGGGCTGAATAACAATTAGAAGAATAATACAGCAGAACTAAATACTACAGCATAAGACAGGTCTTGTGACACCAAAACTAAATTTGTAATAGTGTAGACCATAAGCCATGGGCTCTGACAAATTTCGACTTTCCAACAGCGGCACAAAAGATAAACAAATTATCATTCGTAACTGCATATGTTTAACTGGGATGAATTACAGACAACCATTTTATGAGTTTTAACAGTCAATGTTGATTAAATGTAAGCTAATCTACTGCACAAAGATGAGACACAGAAAACTTTTTTGGCTCAATAGAGAAGTATTACACATTGGAGCTCTAAGCTGAAAATCAGCAACTCCTGGCGAGCACCAGAAAACATTTGAGTGACAACAATGACCTCGATACAAGGTATGATGCAGCACTTTAAACCCTACGGAGCAAAGAAAACCTAAAAGAAGTGAAACACATGGCTTTCGCATCAAATGCTTCCAAAGAACTGTTCCAAGGATGGAGAGCTGAAAACATTAGCAGCAGTTCGCTCAGGTTTGATGGGAGAAATGTGGAGTTGATATTTGATGAATCGCTGCAACCAATTTAAAAAAAAAAAAAAGTGGGAGAAAAAGTCAGCAACTGGCATGATGATTTATAACAAAATCAGATTTGGTTACACTGAATAATCCTTTAAAAATAATTAGCAATACAAAATGTGCAACGTCAATGTCATATCTTCCACAGCTCATGTGGCGTAACTAGCATTCTAATATATCAAATCTTGATGATAACATAAGATGCACAGTTTTGATACAAACAGGGATATCATCAAATATAGTATACCATCAAGCATCAACTATCTTTAGCAGTTTCTAAGAAATGAAAATATAATTCATTTTGCCTCTGCATAAAAGAGGAGCTCTCCATGGCAAGAATGCAATGCCATTTTTTTAAGGTAGCTTGTACAGAAATGAAAATTTAACTAGAGAGCTTTTTGTTTGAACACTTTAAAGCATGCCAGGAATTTGAAACCAGAGGTGAAATATTGCAAACTCAAAATGTACGAGTAGGAAATTAGACTTCATAGAGTATCCATTAAAAACACATCCAAACATTGTAATTCAAAGTCAATCAAACATTCTCCTCTCTTTTTCCTTTCCTTGTGGCTATGGGGTTCTCTCTAGTACTAATCATTGTAATGATATGATCTGTTAACATGATGCTGATATTAACTACAAAATTAGAAGGTTTTTGACACGTTTTCTCCTTAATGGTCGTTAACATACCTTGTCAAATGCATTGTTAGGTAGTTATATTTTCTGCCCTTTCTTCATCTTATTAAGTAGGTAGGTTGAACCTATAATTCATAATGCAATAGACAATTTGATAACTATGTGAATCAAGAATTTGAAGTTTACCGCCAGCTGATAAACGATTTCAGGATTTGAGTCAATATGCCAATCTGGCTCTAGTTGCCGAACGAAAGATGTCCGGCCATTCTCTATGCTACAAAAGAGAACCTGTAGGTGCATTGCATATGGGATAAGAAAATGGATGACAAAAATATGAAAGTAAAAAAAAAAAGAAAGAAAGACGTAAAAAAAAGTTGCAAAGGCGTACGAGGAGAAGAATGCATCAATTAAATTAAAGATTAAGGTCGATGTATCTTAATATTACAAGTAAACCATATGTGATTAGCTAAGACCTTAACTCCATCAATACTCCTTCCTAGTTTCTTACAACTCTGGCTATAGAAGAGTACATATATCCTTTTCTGTATGAGAAGAAAATTTCAAGAGCCAAAAAACAAAGCAAAGATAAAAATTGTGTATCATCAACAATTTTTTTCTTTGATGAGTAATCATTAAAAAATTATAATTTTTGACATGCCACTTGATAATTTCAATGGCAAATCATGGGAAACCAATCTCAACAAAAACACATTTCCAGCTATTTAATGGAAAGAAAAATGTCAATTGTAATATTTTGAATACTGCCAGTAAGCTTACACTAATTACCTTGTCTTTGACCAAGCCACCAGATGTGAAGACCCCAGCATCTTCTAAAGCTGTGAGAACCTTTTTCTGCATAAAATTATTTATCTATGAATAACAAGGATACTATATTCTATTTATTGCAATTGACAAATATGGACCAATTGCGAAACCTAATAAATCACTGGTGCAAAAAGAAAGCTATGGCAACCTGCTAATGGTTTTAGTCTGCAAAAGAAACTCAGAAATCACAAAATTGGCAATGCTAGAGGAAGTCAATAATTATATACACTGCTGACTAGAAGTACTTATCAATTAACAAGCACCCATAGATATACGTATACATACCCACAAATGCAATTGCATATTTGTTGTCTAGTCATAAATATGTCCAACCTTGTCCTTACGATGATTTGCAATGAACATCAAATGGTACCAGTGAGGTCATGTTCAAGAGACATGACTATGGAGCAAAAAGACCATTAAACAGAAGTTTTTACATTGCATGAACTAGCAATAACAAGATCAAATGTTCTTGTATATTCCAACAACTTCCAATCCTTTCCTTCATATTCTCATTCGAATTTTAATTGAATTAAGATCTACTCAGAATCACTTTTACAAGAGAGAGAGAGAGAACTGACATCGAGAAAATGTTTGTGGAGTGCATTTCTGAAAACTATTATTGCAAAATTTCATAGAAACAGCCTGTTAAAACTACTTAAAAATTAAAGCAGTATTCTGTGTATTGAAGAACTTGCGCCAAACAAAATGACCTGAAAAGAAACAGTGTTCAAATACATCGTTTTCAAAAAATAAAAATAAAAATGTAAATAGTTAAATTGAAACCACAACGAACAACTTTTTGACAAAAGGGGGGTTAAAGTCACACCAGTAGTGGTACGCAACACAATTATAACATATCATGATTGACAGTCAAATAGTTAGAATATATGCAATTGGCCTGTATAAATTTTTTCTTGTGTGTTTTAGTTCAACAATGGAATCATATAATTAGGCTGTACTACATAGATGCCTACACAATTATTACATGTCATGATTGATGGTTAAATAGTTAGAATATATGCAATTGACCTGTATAAATTTTTTTCTTGAGTGTGGTTATTTTTAGTTCAACAATGGAATCATACCCTAGAGGCCTGCAGTTGAAAACCATACAAATAGAGAAATGCTATCAATTCCATAAGTATTCAGTCATGTTTCACATATATTCGCAAAAAAGAACTGTACGGATTTTGTGTTTTTTGTTTTGGGTGGGTATGAACAGATTTTGTTGATCCATCAATTTTAAGCATTTCATCTCATAATCACTTCCCCAACAAAGTAAATCAATAAGAAAACTTTAAGGTGCCAATAAGTAACTATGAAGTCAGCCTAACAAAATTTAGCATGCAGAGGAAAACAAATTATACTATTGATTAATAGTAAAAAAAAAATTAAAAAAAAAAAAAAGCAGAAAGGTTTACACTCACTTCACTTTCATCATCCAGAACTCTTTCCATGAGATAAAGATCACAGAATTTTGTAATCTCCAGCAGTACTTCCAGCACAGAGGATCTCACAGTCGCTTGTTTCTGCTCAGAGCAAGGTAACCACAATGTCAATCATTTTCTAATTCAGGCACAAAATTTAATAGACAGAGAATGTCACCACCTGAAGCTCCTCTGGACTAGTTTCCTCAAGAACCACACCAAGTAACCGGCATGTTACCTGGAAAGGAAAACAATGAAAGCATTAGAATCATAAATTGAGTTAAAAGATACAAAGGATATTCTATCTTCCAAGTTCCTAAATGCAACTCAGATAAATGCAACCAAATCCATGCATAGGTTGTACAATATAAGTGTATCTTCAATAATTACATCACCATTAGTATTTTTTGTTGTTACTATTATTGTTGGTGGCGGTGGCAGAGGCTCTATTATTGTTGTCCTCAAGGAGGTTGAAAATGCATTAAATTTAGTATTGGGTACACTACCCGTGAAATAAAATAGCCAAACACAAATCAAATAACTTCAAGACGTGAGGATGACAACAAAATTATCCATCAAACTTTGAAAGATCCAATCCAAGGGGTAAATTAAATTACAAAAACTACGACAATCTCATAGTGAGGTATTAGTTGACAAGGAAAAAGGGTGTACTTAATATTTTCTAGAGAAAAATTAACGTGTCTAGTTAAAGATGCAACGTAATGAAAAGCATAAATCAAGAGAGGGTCAAGTATATCAAAAAGGAAATCATGAGAAAAATCCAAGATTAAAAAAGATAGAACCAAAGATTAAAGTAAAATAAAGAATGCCAAAGAACAAATCATGGAAAAGATTAAAATGATTCCCATGTGGTATCAGAAGACCTAGGGTGTGTTTGGTTTGTGTTTGTAGAGTAATTTTTGAGATAAAAAGTACGAAAATTTGTTTGATTTGCCTTTTTTCAGAAATGGTTTTGGAAAATTGTTTTGGGGAGAGAGTTTTAAAAATAGTGATTGATTTGATGTGTATGAGAGAGAGTGAGTGATTTTGAAAAGTAGGTAACCAAACAAAATTTTGAGATTTTTTTTGAAAAAATTTGTTTGGTTTGATTACTCTTAAAAATTTGTTTGCAGAGAATTTTTTTCAATTTTTTTTTGAAAAACAAACCAAACAAGGCCCTATTCTTCATTCTGCTGAGCTTCCCAAATTCTACTTGGCAAGAAAGATCATTTCAAAGACCCCATTGGTGAACCAAAAATGTCCATCAAAATTCTAACATCATTGGAAAATAATCAATTTAGAATAATTGAATTCTACGATTAAAAGTTTGACTTGCAAAATCTGTCAGGAGCATGCACCAGCCAAGAAAATTAAAATCATCTAATTTCTTAAAAAAGAAACATGCTCAAATTGACGAGAGAAGGATAAAACTTCCACTCACAACAGGAACCGGTTCTATCAAAAAATGACAGGCAATAGAAGTATAAAACAACATCATCTATAAACGAGCGACCTCTACTAAATAAGAAAAATACAAGAAAAACTAAACAAATTACCTTCCTTCCTTCACTCAGCTTCTGTCTAACTATTTGTCCTAAAGTTGGCTGCAGGCAGTAACAAAAAAATTAATTACAAATCAAATTAGTATGAAGCAACGTATAATCCAAAAACAGATAGAAAAAAGATTTAGTTGCCTTTATGGGCTGGAAGAACTCATCAATAACATTTTGTGCTCTTGAATCTTCTGAAGACAAGTCTCCGGAAAATGTCAAATTTGCATTTGAATGAGTACTGACGACACCAGAACTACTAGGAGTAGTAGCTTGCCGTTTAGGCTGTCTTCTTTGAGCCCCACTAGTTGATCTCAATAGTCTCCATGTAAAAAGTATGGCAATGGCAAGCCCTGCTAAAGCCCCAATAGACTGTGTATCCTGCAAATAATTACAAAGTAAAAACCATCGAGCGAATGCAGATTATCCAGAATATTTTTTTTTTGATAAATAAATAATTTTATTGAAGGAGCATCAAGATGATGCAACAAAAACAAGACTACAAAAGTAATTACCAACTCCTTACCAACCCAACAAAACTTTGTAATGCTATAGCTTGTAGATACTACATTGTCTCATTAAAGAAAAAAATAATTAGAACTTCGGTGTTATTTTCCTCACCCACCCCCCCGGGGGTGCTATTTAAAGTGCTAAAGTCAACACAAGAATCTACTAGTAACTGGCTCTCCTTATGGGGCGTATCTTTAGAAATAGACACACTACAAAAGATTTAGTGCCACAATTGGCTGACCAATGTGCCCAGCTACGAAGCACAAACATGCGAACACATAGGCTCCGTTTGGTGGAGTTTTCAAAATCTAGTTCCACACTTACTTTTGAGTGTGGTGTTACGGGGCCATAAATTTTTAAAAATTGCAAGACACAATTGGAGACATGTTCAAAACATATATATTTATATTTTTATTATATGTATATTTTTAAATATTTAATATATATTTTATGTCAAATATTAATTTTATCAAATTTATCAACTTTAGGCATGCTATTTTAGTAAAAAAAATTAAAAATTTTAATTTTTTTTGAAAAAAATAGTACTCAACCTCATCGTGTCCCAACATGTCTACAGCGTGTCCAACTGTTTTCAGTGTGTTGGACACCTGTACGCAACCTCCAGAGAGGTGTCCGTGCTTCATACGTGCCCAGTTTCCAGTATAAACACAGTACTTCAGTTTCATGTTCAATAGAGAAATTTCTGACTCTCTTCAGTAAAACATATTTGCAGGACACACCAAAGTCAAAAAAAAAAAAAACCAAAAATTGATAGACAAAGTAACTATCAATTTCTGGGATAAGGTCTAATCACGATAGCAAATGCTCTTCTTTTGCTTCTTTAAAGTCAATGTCCATGCTCTCTCAATAGCAAAAAATCTTCTAAAATGGTAAAGAAACAATACTAAAGACAACCAACAACAATGACTTCAATAATGCAAAAACGATAAGAAATAAATTTTTAAAAATGACAGGTGTCTGTTAAACTAGACTATGCGACGAAAACAATAGTAAATTCTGACAAAAAAATACAAGTTGTCATGTAAGAGATATAGTCTGTGATTTTTCTTTGTTTCTATTTTTGACAAGTATGATGGCCTATGATTTAATCAAACTTATAATCCCAGGCATATCAGACTGGCAAAAGAGGATTCAGTAGCTGACCCTAAAGTGATCAAAGCCAGACTTCTCTTTCCTTTTGTTTATTTTTATTTCAAGTTGAATTTGACCTAAAAATCAGTAAGGACTAGCCTTCAATTCCGTCCAAATATTTCACCAGTTTTCCTCTAGTTGTTAACAACATTCAAACGCCAATTCTTTTCTCAACTATCACTAAAACCAAATCATCAACGCTGTGCTTGTGTTTGGTTGGGGGATTTAGGAATGGATTTGGAAATGGAAAAGGTGCGTGAAAATATTGTGAAATCTCATATTTTATCTTTTTCTATTTTCATTTCCAAATCTCTTCCCAAAAACTCCCAACCAAACACAGATTCACTAGAGTACCAAAACACGCGAAAGAAATTCGATGCAATCACCACAAAAAAAAAAAATAAAATAAAATAAAATAAAATTAACGCCAAAGTTCCACTCAAATCCGTACCCACACTGTATATATACATATATATATATATATATGTATATATATATATAATTAAATATGCAAATACACAATAATACATACATACGAACATGTAAAATTCAAAGAGGACATGAAGAGAGAGAGAGAGGGAGAGTTAAGGTACGCACGAGATTATCGGGGGAGATCGAGAAGAGATTGGACATCTTGACAGTGAGATAGGCCCCAAATCTCTTGATCAGCTGTAACAACTCGTCTTTAGAGTAATCAGCCATGGCCGAACACAGAAATACGCCTCCGTCGGTTGCTTTGCTCGCTTCAAGAGTCGTCAAACTCTCATGTCTTCCATTGCAGACTCTAGAGAGAGAGATAGAGAGACTTGCTATTCGAGTTCTCAGATCTTGCCGTGGTTCCAACGGAGAGAGAGAGAGAGAGGGGGGTTCGATGAAATTTCTTTTGTATTTTCTGTTGGTCGTGTATAAAGAATTTATAGTAAATTACAAATACATCCTTTAAAATTTAATTAAAAATTTTTAATTTCATAATAAATTATCTTTTTTACTAATAAATTATTAAATTAATTAATAATTTTTATTGAGATTAAAAATATATTTTAATTAATAATTTAAATAATTTTATTATTTTATAAGAGAGTAATTATAAATTTTATTTTTTTAATTAATTTTATTAAATAAAAAATTTTAATAAAAAAATATTTATAATTTTTTAAATTACAAAGACAATTTATATTTTAAATAAATAGTGCATTTATAATTCAAATCTATAAAGCAAGAAAGTGTATGCAAAATGAAATCAACGGTTTGGAAATTAATGGAATTAATACTTTGAAAGATTTGTGAGAAAATCAACGGCTTGGGAGTGATGAAATTTTTAATCTAAAAAGTCACTGTCTGATGGGAAGATCTAAGAGTAAGGTTAGGGACACCAAATTTTCTATTAAATAAATGATCAAATGTCTCACATGGGTGTGGGTCCGCAATTTTGTGGCCCCACACCCATGTGAGAGATTTGGTCATTTATTTGGTAAAAAATTTGAAACCTCTAGCATTTTCCAAGATCTAATGGATGGGGAGTGATTGGCAGAGCCCACGTGGCCGATATCTACAGGTTTCATTGAAAGCAATAACCAAACGACGTAGTTTGAATGTTTGATAGATACTACAAAAATTTGTGAAAATATTTTTAAATAATTTATCTATTTTTTATTTGTTTATCAAAATAATAATAATATTTTTCAATAATACCCTTAATTTTTTTATTTTTTATTTTTTTCATTCACTCACTCTAGCCCCCAAATTTTGAAATTTGACTTTACCACTGTTTTATTGAATTGTTTTTAGCATACCAAACGTGCTGTTTTACATTGTACGATATAATTTAATTTTTTTCGTCAATACTATCTTTCTCGAACCTTAATTTTTTTCGTCAATCCTATCTTTCTCAAACCTAATCTTTAATGAGGCTGTGTAATTTTTTGATAGAGTGTATAATAATTTAATGGGAAATTCTAACATATACACCTTTTAAAATGATGCATCATATGTACTCATAATTATGTTATTTTTTTCTCTAATTATGACAAATTTTATTATTTAGCTATGATATTATTTTAGTTATAACTTTTGAGGTTTTTAGTTATGCCTCATTCTGTGTTTGGTTATGACATTTTATTTAAAAAATTATTGTACACAGCGTAAGTAAGTTTTGAATCCAAAATCTTGAGTTTCATTAAGAATATACTTATCACTTAAGCAACATATATATTATATGTATTAAATTCTTTATTTTTATTTTTAGTTATTTGAATTGCATATGTATCGCATGTGCCATCTGCTAATTATTTTAGTTATGACTCAAAAAGTATAAAATTATATCATTTTTTTCTTTAATTATAAAATGCATGTAATATATACTTTTAGTGTTTTCCGTAGTTAATTGTAATCTATAATGGTGTTTTAAAACACATCAAAAATCTCTTACGTTTAAAAAAAATTAAAATTGAGGAATTAGATTTCAAATAACTTGAAATTAATAAAAAACTAAAAATCATCGCGAATCTTATACCTCCTACCCATCCATACTTCAAGGTTTTTTTAAATTAACTCCATTTGTTATTGTCAAAATTATAACTTGGCGTGCTATTCAAAGATCACAATTCACACTTTGAAGTCTTATGAGAGATACCATCTGTTTGGTAATTTTGATGGTCCAACTTTCATTTTGAAATCATAATTGAAACAGCAATGTTAGATATCATGAAAAATCTTTCATGAAAATAGTCATGAAAAATTTGTGACTTTTGAATTATACTTACAATAAAGCACCACACACTAATCAAGGTAATCTAAGGGTCACAAATTTTTCATGATTCTTTTCATGACAAAATTTTCATGAACTGTAACATTTCTGTAATTGAAATAAAATTTAGTTGAAAAAGGGTTAGTTGGATTTCATCCTTGTACTTTAATAACAGATAAATAGTCTATTTGTGATTTTGATCGTTTAAAAATTTTGCTTTATTCTACTAAAAAAATTATCTAAATTAACGCCTTCCAACAAAATAAAAAATTAAATTTAAAGAAAAAAGAAAAAAATGTCATTTCTTCATAGTTTTCATTCAAAACTCACATAATTAAAAATCAAGTTAATTATACACATTATTATAAAAACTAAATTATAAACTAGTTCAGTGTTTGACAAATTTGAATTTAAATTTAATTGAGCTAATATTTAATTAAGTTTGAAATTAGGTGTAACTTTAGCAAATAAAAAGTATTAACATTGGATAAACATTAGATAAGGGTTGAGTAAGAGGGTATTTGGAATGATATAAATAGTTATACTTTTTGATTTTTTACAAAAAGATGTGCAAAAAATAGTAAAGAGATGATGTGATTAAAAAAAAAGATAAAAAGATAAAAAAAATGTACTAATATAGAAGATGTCAAATAATGTCTAAATATATATATATATATATATTTTTAATATTTTGCCTTGTGGCATGACGGTCTGTTTCTGTCACATGTCATTGTATGTAACAAATAAAAATGTAGAAAAGCCATAATTAATAACATTACAAGAACAATAATTCAAAAAAAAAAGAAGAAGAAAAAGATGAAGCAAAAACCAAGTCATTCTGCCATTGGAGGAGGGGGTGAAGAACTCTGTGCATCTTCCACCAATATGTAAGTCTCATCTCCGACAACACCATTAGTGGTTAGCGGCCTTTCGACCTTCTGGCCTAGGCCATTCCACAGCATCTCCTTCTCTAAATGCAGGCAATAGCTCTCGAAAACCCGAGAGCTGACTGTAACTCCAAAATCCAACAAGAAAAGCAGCTCCAATTCAAGCTTGTTCAATTCAACCTTGTTTACTCCCCCAACTCGAGCATAGAATGCATTGTTGTAATGCCTATAGCATTGCAAACCAAAGAACAAATTAAGGATCAGTTTCATTATAAGTATTATCAATGCTATATTTCCCATGGGAGATTATTTTTTAAGACATTGAATTACGGCCTTACAAAATTCAATATATCAATATTGATGGGACAGAATTTTTCAGAAAATTTTTATGCACATTATCAACAATGAAATGGGTGTCATCCAATAGGTCCAGCTGTCCAACACAGCCACAGACTGAAGATAAATCACTTGAGCTCCATACATTGAACCAAAATTACATAGACACTTAAAAGACTAGGGATAGTTACATTTATCATTCTACTAATACAAATACATGTATATATTTGAAATGATTGTCGAAAAAAATAAAACAAAAAATTTGTTAAGAAAATAAAACTCGAATATTGCAAAAAAAAAAAAAGAGAGAGAGATTACACATCGTCAAGGATCTTGGAGGCAACCATGACGCTAGTGACGAGCAACCTATGAACATTGAGTGAGAAGACGAGTGAGTCAGGGTGTCTATGCACCAACCTGTCTATATACACATACCCAACCACGAAACACGATGGACTACAATTCGTGTACTTGTATATCCTCTCCAAGTACTTCCCTATGCTTATATTCGGTGCTCTCACTCCATGAAAAGCATTCAAGCTCTTCCCAAACCGAACCGAGCCCCCCCACCTCATCATCCCCACCACCTCATCCTGCTGTGGTTCCACCTGCTGACTTAGCTGGTCGTTGCGTGCCACCAGCTTCTCCATCACGAAGGATAGCATGGTCAGGACTCGAGGTGTCGGTTCGGATTTGCTCAGCTCCGGCCGACAGAGCGAACTGTCGTTGTCCCCGCCGGCTAACATCTACACCATTGCTTTTTTTATGGTTATAGGGAGAGATTACTGTAAGATAATTGGGGGACTTTGAGACATTATTTTGGTGGGTAGGAAAAAGTGTGGCCAAGTGTGCATGTTATCCGGTTTGGGTGATGGTAGTACAATGGGTTTTAGACACGTGTCCTCAAACAAACGTGTCTTGATCACTTTTAAGAGTAATGCTAGGGATACCAAATTTTTTACCAAACAAATGACCAAATGTGTCGAGCTCGATTTGGGTTAGGTTTACATTTTAAATAAAGAGAAATTTAATTTAACATTTCTCTCAAGCTTCTAGTAATAAGAGAGATTCACAATATTTCTTTTTATAATTTAAGGTCTCTAGATATTCGATTGGGGTGGGCACAAGCGTAACTTAAGTGTTCTTCGTCTCTCGCGAGCAATACGCTTGCATCAACCTCAACATCTCTCGCAACGACGATGAAGATGATGAAGAGACCCATTGCAAGAGACGAGCCTTCGTGAAGTCGAACTGGCCATTCGTAGCTTCTGGAATCAACATGATTGTGACTTAGACTCAAGTTCTTGAGTCGAATTCATAGGTACACTGGATTTCGAACTCTGATTTCGACATCTTATTGTATACCCTTTCCTTTGTCGTATGTTACTCTCTTTTATTTCATCTCACATTTCTCTACAATTAATTGGGTTTTTTTCATTCCTCTATTTTTTTCCCTATCCAAACTATAATCCTGGTTTTTCTTGTTCTTGGCTTTGTAAGATTAGCTTTCTTTAAATTTTGTTGTTGATTATGTTCCTTCCAATTGGGTTCTCTGATTGTAATCTGGGTACAAGCTTCTTTACTAATTTAGTTTTTTTTTTTTTTTTTAATTTTTGCATTTGATTCTTGATTTCATTCATTGAACCCATTATGGATTGTTTATCTATTTCAGACAAACTGATTTGTAGTTTATGAACTCTATAAATTTCTAGTTAAACAACAAGTTAATTTGAAGGCATGTTTAGTAGAAAAACAAGCTAGATGATGAAACGAAGTTCACCCATATTTGTGATGAAGTTTTAGTTTGGCCAGTGAAAACCATTGTATTAAAAGTTCTCTGGTTTGATTAAAACAATTTTCTCTAGTTTAAAATTGTGAACAAATACAGAGAAATTTGTGAACAAAACAAGAGAAATTTCAATTTTACCTGGATTTCTCTGGTTTGAACCTAGAGAAATTCTCCTTTCAGTGAATCTCTCTCTCTCTCTCTCTCTCTATATATATATATATTGGTTGTTGTTGTTACTTATTTGGATGATCGGTTTGTGTATTGCACATCAGTATTGAGAAGGCAGAGAAATTTTGTGATTTGAACCTAGAGAAATTCTTGCGAAAACTAGAAAAATTCTTTAAAAATTCAGAAAAAATCTCTAGACTAGAATCCAAAAAAATTCTCTAGCCTTTCCGGAATTTCTCTGGGAAGAAATTCTCTGAGAAGTCCAGAGAAATTGAGAGAAATTCTCTAGGAAGTCCAGAAAATTTCTTTGGACCGAATTTTCTCTGGATCGATGTTAAAAAACTTTAGACATTATGAAAATATTGGATGTTCTTTATAGTATAAAATCTTAATACTAGGAACCTTAAAAAAAAAATCCCCTTAAACAAATTATGCTTAAACTTGACATTTTCCGACGTAGTGTTTAAAAATTCAATACCAAGTTAAGCTCTAAAATTATATTTTTATACTTCCAAATCTGTCAAATAAACTCATATATTTAATAATAAATATAAATTTAATAAAAAAAATATTTTTGTAGTTAAGTTGGCATAAACATTTAGTTTTTATTCATTATATCCTAAGTTTAAAGTTTTGTGGGTATATTTTCCTTCGTTGGTGTATTTCTTTATTTTAAACAAAATAAAACAAAATAAATTATATATGTTCTTTTGTATACTACATAAATTTATAAAACTATATTAATAATTGGGTAAATCTAGGCTTAAAAAAAATTCTCAAAAACCTAACTTAGTTAATAAATAGACCTAAAATTAAGTCCAACATGTCCCTATCAATTTAAATATCAATCTCATCAATCCCCTTGAAAATAAGGATTGAGTTCAGCTAAGGGTGTAAATCTGGCTCGGCCTAGTCCATGTCAGGCCTTATGGGCTCTTGCCAAAATTTGGGCCGGCCGGGCCAGCCCAAGGGCCAGAAAATTAAGCCCAGGCCTAGCCCTAAGCCTAGGGATATTCAAGCCTTGGGCAAGCCGGTAGGGTTAGGCCTGGCCTTGGGCTTGAGCGGGCCTGATCATTTTTTTTAATTTTTTCAATCAAAATTTTATTATTTTTCACTAAAAAAGACATTGGGCCTCAGGTGGGCCGGGCCACAGGCTGGGCCCACAGATCTGGCCAGGCTTGAAAATGATGGCTCAAGCCTAAGCCCAGAGGCTTAGGCCCAAACGGGCCTAAATGGGCCGGGTCTATCTGTCACGACCCAAACCCGCCCCTGTAGGTTAGACATCGTAACCGGCCAGTAATCTGTGGATTACCAAAGACCTTTGAACAGATAAGCATATAATAAGGGGTTGCGGAAGCAAATATATAAAATAGACAAGGTCCAATGAGCTGTGGTAACGTACATGAGACAGTAGATTTCAAAAACTTATTTATATATACATAAACATGCCAGTCCAAATACACAATATTTACAAGGTATTTACAGAATGTACTTCCCAAGACTTGACTTTACAGAGCATACACAAAGACTAGCATGAATACAAAAACATCCATGGCTTTAGACTTCGATCGGAACCTCCTCGGGAGGCACAACGGTTGGGTGACAAAAACAGAATAGAAGGCCGTCAACTCTGGCCCTGGTCACATGCCGGCTCACCTATATACATAATATAAACTGTGAGCGAAGGCCCAGTGAATAATAACAGAGTAAAGGGGTTTCAATGAATGAGTCCGTACAGATTCAGAAATCATAATTTAGTTTCGTATCAAATCCATAATTGGTCCAAATCATATACAGAAATAATAAGTCATGCTTGAGTTTACGTGATACATCCATTAGCAATAACAGAGCAGATACAAAACAGAGGGAGACACGTGAGGGTTACAAGTAACCAGTTCCTTAAAGGAACCTCCGGATCCGGGTAACAGAACAGAAGCTGAGCCCCCATGACGGGGCCTCCGGTACGGGTAACAGAGTGCAGACGGATATAAGTTCCATAAAGGAACCTCCGATACCGATTAATAGCCAACAGATATCACATGATGCTAAGGATGTCACGAATACATATCAGAAATTGAACAATCATTCATTGTACAGAACATATCATTTCGGAAAACATATCTTATTTTATCACACAGAAAATAGATACAGTTGAACATAACTTTACTAAGTTATTACTCACAGTTGGCCTTGAGACAAACAAACGGAGCAGATTAGTCAGACAGAACGCGGCACGTGACCTGCATAACACATAACAGATACACATTTGAAACACACGTTTTAATTGTAGAAAACTTACGTCGTTGGCTTTTAGTGTGTTTCTAACCTTTAATCCTCATTAAAGGGCCTTAAGCATGGCCTAGGAATACTTAGGATGAAATGAGGATGCAAAAATGCCTTGAAAACCATATCTTAAATTTTGCTGAAGATAAGGTCCACGCTCGAGTGTGGATTACCTCGCTCGAGCGGACATGCAGATATTGAAGCTTTGCTCGAGCGTGAACTTTCTCGCTCGAGTGGACTGTAAAATCGACAAAAGTACTAGATGCATGATTTTCACGCTCGACGGGCGCTCGACCCCCGCTCGAACGTGAGACTCAGAGTCTCGCTCGAGCGGACTGCAAAACACACAAACTTCTGGGTATACACATTTCACGCTCGAGCGTAACTATCGACGCTCGAGCAGAAGTGCATGTACTCAGGATTCACGCTTGAGTGTGAAAGTACCCGCTTGAGCGTGGGTCGAATTTCTGGAAAATCCAGATTGACCTCCAAGCATGTAACTTAACCTTTAAGCCTACAAAAATCATTTTTCTGGGCCAATATTTGAGGAAACATAAAATAACTTATTAAAAATCATTTTAAGAAATCATGGCCCAAGAGCAACCCAATTTGTGCAAAATCAACATGAACTCTAAGAATATGCCATTAATACAACATGCAAGAATCTCATTGAATCCAAACCCTCCAAAACATGATCAAACTTGATAATTTGATGGACAACAAGATGAATGACCATAATGTGAGTGAAATTAACACATGCATGGAAGAAATCTTAGAATTCAAACTCAAAGCATGGAAATTTATGCATGCATGCATGGATGGACTCTCAAAACCACACTTTGAGCTAAATCTTGATTTTAAATACCAATTTCACCATGAACCTAGCAAGAACAACTCACATTCATAATTAAAAGGTTGAATTCTCTACCTTTAGGCCTTCAATTCCAAGTATGGAGACTCAATTATGCAATCCTCTCTTCAATTCTTCTAATTTTCCAAACAATTCTTGAAGAACTCTATTTCCTCCTAACTCTCACTCTCTCTAGTCGGTTTTGGCTCAAGGAAGTGGCTGAGGAGAGATGCTTCTCAATGTAATAAGGTGTGTCTCAAATCAAGCCACTAAGTGGCATTTGTGTAATTAGGCAAACTAATGCAATTTAACATTATTTAATCTACTTTACACATTCCAAATCGAATTTTAATTAAGCCTACTATAAAATCACATAAACTCTAACTAGTATAACCCACTAATCAATTTCTGACTCAGTTGCCGATAAGGCTTTCAATTTGCAAATCGAAACTAAAACACGAACAGATCTTCCTACACTGAACAGATAGAGACACATAAATAATGCAATACATATGCAAATTAATCCCAGATTCTTTCTAAATTACTGTTAGGCATAATTAAGTGCGGATAAACATTAATCAGATGTTGGGATTATTACACTATCCCAGGCTACGGGCGGGTTTCGGACTGCCCACGGGCTGTGGGCCATTTTTACACTCCTAAGTTCAGCAGACCAATAGGCCTGTGGCCGCCGCAGTGTGGACCAATCACTTTTATGTCATTTTATTATTATTTTTTGTTATATTTCTATCC